ATCCTTCTCCAAGTAGCCTGGGCAGCATTAAGAACTAAAGTGACATGATTTCGTATCACCAAGTTTATCACCAAGCAAATAGTGGTATATAAAAGCCAGACCTAAGGTTTGTAAGACACAGTAACTTAAAGGTTACAAAAAAAATAATAATAAAGAGCATTGCATTCCAGTAACTTATCCCTAAAGCAGCCATGTGTAAATCCCAGGAATCGACTAAGCTTCAGCCTAAAGGAAAATGAAGCAGTGTTTTGCTAATATGATGTCTTCAGTTGCAGCAGAAGCTTTTAAGTATACCCACTCTCAATCTACCATGCATCTATCCTTCCAGTTTGGATTTCTGAGCCATGAACTAGATCAGAGAGCTGATCCAGCTTAGACGGGAAGCGTCAAAGATATTTTTCTTTGAGCTGGCTGAGTCTTTATCTGGACCACAGGCATCTGTGGGGCTGCAGAACTAAGGGGATAAGAGGGGCAAGGGCCATGCACTGGTTTATGGCTTGGTGGGGGAAACCTTAAACTCCTATTGCTGCCAAGACAATGCATTGTCCAACTGTGGCCTCACACATTCCCTGGCAAAGAAACACAGAGGATGCAAACTGCCTTAGCTCTGTTCTGCTCTGCAGCTGTGAAGATGTTTTTGGAGTGAGTGTAGACATTACAAACTTGTGCTAGCCTTGGTACCATTCACAATGAAGCCACAGTGATGTGGGGTTTTGGCAGTATGTACACCTCCCCTCCCCCTCCAGGATTCTAGGTATTTACTTAGGCAGGCAGGTCTGAGCTGCTGTGGATTCACTGCTCTTTTAGCGGGATTAGCTGGAGCACAGCTAGCTTGGAATCTTCTCTGCATGCTGCTGTTAAGCCTCTCAAGAGCTATGGATGTTGTGCTGCTGTGAAAGTATGACACGTGCATTTGAACCATTGTGTGGCCTTGGATTAGATGCAGATAATCGTTCTTTTTACTTAGAAGTTAATTTCTTTTACCCTTCCTGCTTTCAGGTTAGGTCTGTGATTTCATATTTCCAAAGAATAAATGTGGCACCCAGCAGGAAGGGTGTAGGCAACAGGACAAGGGAACAGTGTTGCTGTGCTCTCTGAGTGCCTGTGTATTTGTGACTAACTGCAGATTTGTTAGATTCTCCTTAACCCCCAACCAGGTGAAATTTGCTGCAGTGAGGGAGAGAAGCAGTTTAGAAGAGATGAGGCACAGGTTCATAAATAAAAGGAATATTAAATATGAGAAAACCAAAAGAACATGAGAAGGGGACAGAGATGAGAAAGGAGGTTAGAAGATGGAAACAGTAACTGTGAGGAGGAGGATGGTGTAACAGACTCATAAAAGCTGGAGCAGTGCAAGCCCAGGGAGGCCATTGCTGTCAGAAACAAAGGTGGAAGTAAATGCTTGAGGATTTTAGCAGACTGTGAATTGATGATGAGCCTTTGTAGCCCCGGGTAGCTCACTGCACCTGAAGATGTGCTGATGCAGGAGAGCAATACTGTAAGAGAATGTCAGAGGGCCAGTGGTAGAAGTAGTTCCTCTTGTGTGCTGAGAGGGCTTATTTCTGTAAGTCACAGCTGCTGCACTTCTCCATGGGATGGAGAATAAGAACCCTCTTAATGCTCACCCTAACCGAGACACTGGCTAAGAAACCAAGCGCTTTGCTTGAGCCCATCTGCTGTCTCCACTTGCCATCTACAATAGCAGCACCTAGAGCAGCTGGAAGTGTCAGAGCAGGTGAGCTCCTGGCTCTGATCTCTTTGCTCAAGTCTTTTTGCTCCCAGGTGGAGCCTGAACAGCCTGTGAGCATCGTGCTGGGTTGAGGAGATGTGAATAACCTAGTTTCCCTAGCAACAGTGGGCTCTTTAATCATAGAGATACAAGGCTACCTCTGTTACTGGTGTTAAGGCTTGTGTAGTGTATCTGGCTATGGTAATACTTTGCTTCTGCTGGGAAAAAAAAAGGCAGAATGAAAGCAAGAAGGTCTTTCTGCCTTTGAGATAATTAAAATCTCCATAGGTGGATTTCGGTGCTGTATGCAGCAATAATAGAAAGAAGGGGGATTATAAGTACTTCTAAGCTTTTTAATGTGTGAAAGGATCCCTGGAGGAAACAGAAATAAAGTTTTAAATTCTGTGTATGGAGCTTTCTATGCACAGATCTCATGGCAGTCTGTAACACTGCTAGATTCATTCCTTGTTGAGATGTGTTTTTTCATTTTCATGGATAGAGAGACAAAGTGATTCAAAGGTAGACTGATTCTAGTTGCAAAGCTAGGAATAAATCTCCTCTTCTAAGCTCAAGTCTTCCACCTGCCCTTTCCTTCAGTTTCAGGTAAAGGTTTCACTGTGAACTAGGAGACAGAACATGTTATAGAAGGTGGAAGTGTGAAGCTGTTTTTTAGCAGGAGAAAGTGAGGAAAGTGGAAACACTGTGATTCACTGCAAGCCTTTCTGCTAATGTATTTTAGTCTGCATTTACTCCCCCATTAACAAAAGTGGAGCTAACTATAAATTTTGAAAGTGAGCATTGGGAGTGAAAGAAATATTCCTGTCTTAATTACTGCACAGCAACTTGGTCTTGTTACTGCGTGTGTGCAGGAGAAAGTGGTTTGGATAAGATAGTTTGAAGACATTTCTGAAGGAAAAACAAACTCTTGGTAGAGTAGGCAGGAAGCATACATAAGCACCCAGTACTGATGTTCCTCCTTGGATAATGCCAGTGTTAAATTGTTGGTAATATCTCACAGGCTGATTCAGTTAGATAGTTGCACAAGGAACAGCTGAATGGAAAACAGCTATCTGAAGTGATATGGAGTTAAGATTTTGTGGGTTTGGGTTCTTTTTTCCTGGTGTGGGTTTTTTTGTTTTTTAATTTTAATGTGGCATAAATAGTGCAGAGATGAAAAGAGACACCCATCCTCCTTCCTACTTATAATTTTAGTTTCTGGAGTCAAAACAGTCACTTAACTTACTGGCCATACAGAAGAACATCCACCTGTGTGTGAGGAGGGTATATTTACTTCTTTTCAGTGTTTCCTTGACTGCCTTCTGTTCTGCATCCTTCTAGCCTAAGAACTTCTGACAATTCCAGCATAAGGGTTTGTTTGGCTTGCAGATATTGTAGAAATTATCCAACTTTGGGATATCTAAAATTCTCTTTTGTTTTGTGGCTGAGCATCCTTAGTTCAGCACCTCCCTTTCAAGCCTCTGTTTACCAAATCAACATGTAGTATCTTCTAAATGGTTATGGAGCTCTGGAAACCTCTAACAACTAAACTGAAGTTCTTCCAGAGAACATGTCCCACCTTCTCCCTACCCTTCGTTCCTGTGGTCTTGCACCATCTAACAAGTCTTTTGAGGTACTGTGAGAGCTTGAACACAAGGTAATTCCACCACAAGCAGGTGGGTGACGTAAAACTCATTGAGCTTGTTAAAATAATATTGCTATGGTCCTTCAGCAGCCTAAAGGCCTCGTATCAGGCTGTTATTTAGCTGGGTGGTATTTGGTACGAGCCGAGACAGAGGCTCACTTCTACAGTGAGTTTATTGTTGGCTTTTCAGTATATTGTTTGCATAAATTCCCTAGACCAGCTCTCAGTCCTGAAAAAGCCACATGGATCAAGTTTTATTCTGTTCCACATAAAGTTCACATCCTTTACTGGAATGAGTCATGCTCTAACTGAGTTTACTGTGAGGGAGGAAAGTGGGCTTTAAAATGTTACTCCTCCACCCTGCCTTAGTGATGTATAACAGGATTATTAGTATGCTTGGCAGCAGCTGCTTATTATTTTCACAGAACCTGGATATTTGTGAAAACAAGTAAAAAATTGGTCCCTACTTGTGTTCAAGTGTAATTTTTAAAGTATTTTTGTCTTTATCTTTTATAAGGCTCCCTGGCTGCTGTAAAGGTAGATCTAGTTTATATCCTCAGGGTTATTTTTCAGCTTGGGGGGAAGAGTGGCATTCTGTGACTTGTAGCTGAAAGAAGAGGAGGAACTTGACCATTTTGGCTATTACTGTCACACACAGTACACTTCTGGGCATTGACAGGTGAAAGTGCTTCACAGGCCCATGGAACTCATGGTGCAGTACCACAGTGAAGAAACCAAATTTTGGTCCTCTGTGTATGTTTCCTTTTGCAGAGAAGTGAGAGACCTTTTAACTTATGGCAGAGGGAGCTTCTCAGTGTATGCCCTTATTATAGATTTTTGCAGAAGCAGTCTCTGTATGCAGCTACTAAAGATACCTGAGCCAATTATACTCCTCTTTTTTTTCCTGCAGAAGTTCATTGATGTCTCACCGTATTGGTTCATACCACCATCCTTTTTTGTTTTGGATGTGTTGTTGTTTTCCAGGTTTTTTGGGGGGGAGGGGAGACGAGATGGGTAGGAGGGAGCAGGGTGGTGGCTTGTTCATTTGTTTAAGTTAGTTAGACTCAAAACTGAGGAGGAGTGGCAGCCAACAGAAGAAGGCCTCTTAGGTTTTTATTTCTGGACATAGGCCAGTTCACTTGACATGTAAGACCTTTCTTTCCTAGTCCTCTTGTTTCTGAGAGGTCTGGAGAGAGTTATGAGCGATGTATTATCTATGCTTTCTAAACTGGCAGAGGCATCATCTGTTCTTATTCTACAGAAAAAAAAAGAGATCTGTTACCCTAACCCACTACCTTCCTAAACCCAGACTCTGTAACTTTTATGGAGCCTGCAAAAGGATTTCTTTTGATGCTTTTGAAGGAAAACATGAGGGAAGGAGCTATAATTAAATGACCACTAATATTAGAAAGGATTTTACCTTTTAGGACTTAAAATGAGTGAAATGAACTTCTGGTGACAATGTGGACTTATATTTACACCTCTACTTTATCTATATTTAACTATCACCGACTCTGGATTTACTGATAAGTCATCTTAATAGCTGGGAAGCAGGCAGTGCCTTGGTTGCCCAGCCTGTCTGCTGTCCAGCCTGGCTCTGACCAGACAGATCTCTCTCCTGTTTTGCAGATGCTTCGTTCAGTGGCACACCGCCCGGCTACGCGTACGATGCAGACCGCGCTGAAGAGCAGAGGAGACATCATGACATGATGCCCTATATTGATGACTCACCATCATCCTCACCCCACCTCAGTTCCAAGAGTCGGGGCAGCCGAGACACATTATCTTCAGGGTCTCTGGAATCTACAAAATCAGTGAGTCTTTTCCTGCCTTACTGCAGTCAGCAAAGCCTTGTGGATTTGCAAGGGGTAAACTGCTTTGGCAGGGAAGAGTCAGGGGCAGTAGGACAGACTACCTGACATAATAGAGCAGTCTGATTGATATTGTATATTTAAAGCTAAACTGAGGCTTTTAGCTGATGTTAAGCCTAAACTTCATGGATCATTGTCATGTATATGATTTTTAAGCCCTTGGTGAATTTTAGTGGAGAGAACTGGTGATTAATTGCAGTTGAGAGAGTCTCTAAATGGCAGATAATTTGGACAGTGTGGAACAAAACATGTTCATACCTCTCTGCATATGGGTTGCCATTGCCTTTCATGAGGAAAATACAGGTTATTTTTTAGTAGATTAAGGGTTTTGATAAAGCATCTGGCATACAAGACCTATTTTCTTCACCCTGTGAAAATGGAATAAGAAGAATTAAAACTCTGAAGAGTGGTGACTTTGAGTGGGAGATGGCCACTGGTTGTAATGGATTTTGACTATTCACTGGATAGCTGTCTGTATAATCAGCTATGGGAGACAGAAGGCTCAGAAGGGACTGCTCAGCCTGAGCTGTGGTTTAATGTGGCCCTTCAGGCTACTTTGCATTATTTTTGCTTCAGGTTCTGTGTCATGGCTGTAACTTGGAATTTAAGTGAAATCTCTATTTTTGTTTTTGCAATAGTTTTGGTAGTGAGTCTGCTGTGTGCCTTAGTAAATAACTATTGACTGTTGTCTTCACATCAAAAGTGTCTTAGTTTCAGCGTCAGCTAATTTTGTGACTTTCAACCTTTGTTTCTTTTTATCCTTTTGCAACAGATTGCAGAGCACTTGAATCCCAAGTTGCTGTCTCCCTGAATGTCTTTGTAATTTGCCAAATTTTGGTTTCTCCAAGTCATTCATAAAAATGCTTAACAGCACAAAGCCAACTGTCACTTCCTTCCTACTGTATTTCTGAGAACGTGAGGACAAACAACCTTGAATCCCCCCACTGTAAATAACACTTCAAAATCTGTTATCTTAATGGTTTAACTTGTGTTGCCTTTATGTTGTTCTGTCCTATTAATTAAGTTGTCATGAAGGAAGATGATGGATATTTTACAGATATCAGTCTGTGAGTAGATCAACACAATCACCCCATCAGATAGTTTTATTTATTTTGTTTTGAAATCAGGAGTCTGACAAGTTCCCCAAGCCATCAGTGCTTAGCATTCATTATACACTTTCTTCTGCTCCTTATTGGGTACTGCCATATCAGTGCTTACTTTTTCCAGGATGAATTCTAGATTGAGAATCCTTCTTGAGACAGTGTTCTGATTCTTCTCTCTTGTTTGTAAAAATGCATTGTCAAGATCTCTTAAAGCTTATCAAGCACATACATTGTGGATGTTTGCTGAATTTTTACTGTAAAGGATGGAATCTAGTTAGCTGCTTATGCTTTAGTCAGTTAATTTTGAAATGGTTTTTTATCTCTCAAGATGAGAATTCTTGTGATATTTAAGAGGCTTTTGAATGAAGAAATTACCATTAGTAAATTCAAAAAGCTCCAAACATTTCAATATTGGCTTGAAATATCCAGGTTATGTTTCTCAGGATGAAGGAAAAATGCTATGTGACTACACATGGCTGAGAGTTATCTTCAAAGAACCAGTTGTCATAGTGCCTGTGACTGGAGGCCTGGAAAAGACACTGCCTAATATTTAATCTAGTTCTTTATTTGTTTGAATGTTGCCTCATAAGCATTTAGCAGTCGTTAATTTCAAAGCTACTTTAATAATGCTAGAAGGCTGTTTTTTCAGAAATGATTTTAACATAAATGGCTGCTTTCTTCTCTCTGACTACAGAAAGATGCCTTATGGCTTCCAAAAGAAAGAGGTGTCCTGATACAGATTAGACTTTTAATCATGACCCTCAGCCACTTCAGTCAATCCTGTAATTAGTCCTCAGATGACAATACCATTAATGAAGGATGGTCCGTGACAAGGAGGAAGAGACTAATTTAGATATAGTTGCAATATTTCCCAAGCAAGTTAAACTTTCTGTTGTCACAAGCTGCTAGATGACTTTTGCTGTAGTTATGTTTACAGCTGTAGTGGAAAAGACATCAGTAACAAAGTTAAGTGTCGAATACACTGTGCTGAAACAAACACATGAACTATGTTGGACCAGCAATCTCAGGATGTATGTTGCTTCTATTTTTCTTTTTCACTACATTTGGTTAACAGAAAAAGTGGTTTTTTATACGTGTTTGCTTTTATAGTTGTCTCCTAGTCTTTTTACTTTTTTACTTAGGTGTCTGCAGTTGCTTATGAAAATTTTAGATTATATTTATGATCAGAGTCTGGAAATCAAGTTTTGTATGTACTAACATAACATGTGCACTACATGTGTCACTTTGACAAAATATGAAGGCTGCACGGTCACTCAGAAGTTAAGAAATTACTCTGGTTATCCAGCCTTGCCTTGTTTTGAATCTTTATGATAATTTTGAATGATTCACTCATCCTGTTTTTCCTATGGGGCTCCTGCACTGTGCAGTGTATACAGTGAATGATACAGACTGGATTCAGTATTTCATCTCTAGAGCTATATGTACATCTTATTTACAGGGCAGTGCAAATTCTGGGCTGAGTACGAAAGTATTTATTTCCTACTGGCATGACCATTAGCTCCAAATACAGTTGGAATGTCACATGCATCTTAATTATCCTTTCAGGGTTCCTGTGAGGTAAGAGTGTTCACTGACCACAGGTAATCAAGGTAAGAGTGTTCACTAACCACAGATAATCAAGGTAGACAGGTTATAGGAGAAGCATCTGCTGATTTTGGGTGCTTAATGTGAGATGTGTAATGTTCTGCAAAACCAGGTTCTGACTTCTAATACGGTTTTCTTCACATTTAAAGAAAAATCCTATTAATTTTGCTTGCAACCAAGAGTTGTTGTTGGATGACAACACTCCAGTCAGTTATCCAGAAAATGGAAAACGTGGCAAACAATGATTTTTTTTCTGAAATTTTTTTTTACAGATGTAAATCTAAGTAGTTCACTTAGCATCACACAGGCTTAGGAGCATTTTGGTGTGATGTTCATCTGCCTTATCCATGAGACCAGCCCTCCTCTTGGAGACTAGATTGTTTCTGTCTGGATATTGAGGGTGTTTTGCTTTGACTTATTTTATGGGTTTGCTCTGGGCTTTGTGTTGTTCTGCCAAGTGTTTGCCTGAATCCTTCCATCTCCTTAGAGCAACTACAGCCTTGGGTTGGATAGCACATCAGGGATCCACCTGGTCTGTCCAGCCACTGCAGAGACAGCGCAGAGTGGCAACAGCAGTTTCTGTTTCTAAAAGAGAATGAAGGGATTCCTCATGGACTACTTTGTGCAGGAGCTTCCTGTCATTCCCTCAGTGTGTAGGGTGACCAACTCCCAGCACCTTATGTTCTGTGTTCCAAGAATTGAGGGTCACAGATGACTTCCGGAACGTTTGTGGTGTTCTACAGTTTGTCATTTAGGGAGTGTTTTCTAATCCCTCCTATCACCTGCATCATATAAACAGACAAACAGACACTGCCTGGTCTGCCTCCAAACTGTGCCATTTCAGCCACCTCTTGCATATTCACATTCCACCTGCTATCTGTCCATTGCACAAACAACTGGTGGTGTCCAAGGAGGTTGATAAGAGGTGCACCAGCATTAGCCTTGTGACCTAGACAGGGCAGAAGTAACGTGGGCATTTGTAGTGTGGATCTGAGATCCCTTGACTTGTCATTTTTGTGGTAATGAGGCCTTAACAAATATTTGCATTGAGCAAGATAGGCCATACCCCTTCCTTTGGCTCTTCCAGAATCTTGTGCTGGGCTGCTGATACATGTCCTGGTATAAAGCCAATGCTTTTGCCAAACTTTGAGTGTAGCTCTGAAGCAAGCATACAGGGAGAGAGGAAAAAGGAGAAATAGGTTCCACTAATGCTTCACTTGTTTGTTTATTTAACTGGAGAAGTGATTTAATTTTCCCAAACCTTCCTTTCTGTAACAGTTGAACTGTTGAGATTGAAGTTTCCAAAAATTCTGGAAACGTCTCTTGGAAAATGTCAGCCCAAATGTTTGCCAAATAAGACAACGCTGGTAGCTTCAAAAGGTATCAGACAGAATTGGTAGAAATTAGTGATAATTCACTCCCAGAATGAGAGATAATGTGTCTGTTTTTCCCATACAGCTAGGGTGAAAAGTGGAGAAGATACCTCAATAAAGTTAAGAGGAGGACAGAGGGAGAGCTTGCTACAGTGTTCTTAGGACACAGGAAAGTGTTGGGACAGCTGGAATGTTAGTGACTGACACCCTTCGGCAGAGAAGAGTTATTGCCGAGGCTTTGGAGTGGGGAGCTTGGAGGCTAAAAAAGGCTGAGAGAGAGGATGGGAAGCTTCATGCATTGTGATACTGTTGCTGCTACTCATAAAGGGAGAGATGCAGCCATGGGAAGGGTAGAAATAAGAAAGGCCTTTCAAGATCTGCTCATCAACAAAGCCAGGTTCAAAGATCTGTGATGCTCTGTGGAGATGGGTGCAGGGCAGCCAGTGGAAAGGCAGAGCTTGTTCCACCCACCCAGGAAATGAGGGGAGTCACATTTCAGGAATTTAGATGAGGTTTTTGCCTAAATAGATCTCTCCAATTCTTCAATATGCTGCACCAAGGGAGGCAGGAGTGCTCAAGCTGAGTGACTACCTCCTACTGTCTGTAGTGTTTGGAGGAGAAATTGGTACTTGTAGATTTCCAGGTAGAGTTTCTGTTCCTTTTTCTGCTGTGCAGTCTGTGGTCAGGGCAGCATTGGCAGCCATTACTGGTCCTCAGATCAGATCCTTTTGTTCTCACTGTCTGCCAGCTCAGCAGAGAGCAGGGCTGTGGCAGAGCAGGTTGTAGAGTTTGTTCCTAGCTTGATCTCAAGGGGATCCAGAGAAGTTGACCTCTGAAGCTACAGCAATAAACGGGATTACTACTCTGCTTGGTACTACTGTGGCTAGCTTGTCCTTCCTTCTGCAGCATTTCCAAATTCTTCTCCCTTTCTTCCTCTCTGTATTTGGTCTTGTTTGTTTGTTTTGTTTTACTGTCACTTTCCCCTCGCCATCCCCAACAGATGCAGTTTTTCCTTTTTATTCTCCAATACTTTGCTCCTTAAGGGCTCTGCCTGGACGTACAGCCCTTCCTGAGGAGAGCTGGCACACCAGTACTGATGTTATAAATAATGTTGGCTCCTCTCCCTGCTCCTTCCCCTCCCTGCATGGAGCACGATTGGCTTGATTACAGAATTTGCCCTGTTTAATATCACCAAGACAATGAGACGCCTCCAGCCTGTTTAGCAGAAGCTTTCAAATATATTTACACTTTAAAAATTGGATTGAGTGTTTTTTTCTCCTTTGTAGGCTCTCAGCTCCTCTGAGATTCTGAGCTGTCCTTACGAGAAGCCTCTCCTTTGAGCACATTCATTGCACGGCGTATGAACACACTGTACCAAAGGAAGAGTTAAAGTGCCTTTTATACGCCCACTCTGAATCCCTGATTCTCTTTACAGAGTTGTGCCAGCAGCAACCTCTTTGCAAAATCTTATGTGTTGTGGTTTCTAGATTCTTAATCTGTGCTCTTCTGACATTTGCAAGAAAACAATTATTGCTGTTAATTTAAACAACCACCAGAAAGCTCTGAGTTCTTTAAACAGTCAGGAGACCAGAATCTATCTAATCCTTGGAGCTGGTGACTGTCGGCCTTGCAGTAATTGAATACAACATGCAATGCCAACCTGGTTAGTAAATTAAAATACTTAGGCTGACAAGCTGTAAACACATTCAAACCAGCCATGGCTTGGGGCCAGTGAATGCATAGTGTCTGATATCTCCTGTGCCTCTGACTGCTCTGACTGGCCCTGCTTCAGGTCGCAAGATTGCCCTCATGACTGTGACTCAATCTTTTGGTTTTTAAGATTTTGGAATGGCAAAAAGCACCACCCAGTTGAGAATAGAACACCAGAATTTTATAGGCATGAGATACCTGTGAAATTTCCTTTAGACTGCTTTCCATCTTCCTTTTTGTTTTCTTTTTTTTTCCCAAATGTCATTCAGAAGGAGTGGGAGCAAAGCACTGATTTCTTGCTTGCTTGTTCAGATCTGGCTGGGTGTTGGGTCCTCACAGCTCCCATGGCAGGGAGACAGGAATGCTCTGGCTGCTGCCCTGGTACAGTCTTGTAAGATTTATTCTGAAACACATTGAGTAGAGAGGTAGCCAAAATAGATGGAAGGGCAGTGGAGAAAGGCTAGACATGGATGCTGGTGTCAAAGAGGCAGGGACAGAGTCAGAACATGAAATACTAGTCAGACTTGTACAAGTGAAAAACAGGCTAACCAAGCTGGGTAGGAAGCATGGGGTGGACTGCTGACCACCTGGCACTCCCTGCTGAGTGGTTAGAGTTTGCCAATACAGGCTGCTCCCACTTCCTGCTGGGAACATCCCATCTGCACTTTGGTAAGAGGTGTATTTTCCCCTAGCTGATGTGGTCTGGTAGATGTGGTATCATCTCCTCCCTTTGCCACAAGCAGCTCAAAGATTTCACACTGCTTCCTTCTTGCCGGAGTAGGGGAAAAGCATCCTCAGCTTTGGCAGGTGTCCCTGTACTGGTGAGGAGCTTGATACCTATGCCCAGGATGTCCTCTCTTAACTGCCCTTCTGGCTGGAGTGCAGGAGCAGAACCAGCAGCAAGGCTGTTGTAGTCACAGTGTTGCTCTTTGTTTCCCTTCTGTGTCGGATATGGGCAAAGCAGAAATGCCCTTGGGACCAGGTGTGTCACATCTTGGCATGCTGCAGGGAGAGAGTGGAAGGACAGTCTCACTGTATCTCTGTCTGCTAACTGCAGCCTCATGTTGGGTGAGCAGTTGAGCCTGTTCCCAATTCTGTACATGATAAATGTTGTCATACCAAATAACAAACTTACTCTTCTTCCTCCTGGTGTTGGCACCAGCTCCCAGGGAATTTCTTAGTCGTGGAGTATGTTTCTCAACAAGTGAGACTTAAAAAGCACCCTGAGGCTGAGAAAGCATGGGGACTGTTTTCCAGATGTTCATCTAGCCGTGAGAGCTGCTAGCCACGCAGCCCCAGCTGACACTGTCAGCAAAGGCCTCCCTCAGCTGGAAGCTCTTGTCAGGGCACAGGCTCTCGGGAGGAAACACAGAGCAGCAGCACAATGCAGCCAGCAGCACCATGGTGCTGTATTGATCCCTGACACAGCAGGAGCAGCAGGAGATCATCGCTGCACATGTGAGGAGGCTGTATGTAAATCTGAGGTACTGCATTGAAAATCTGGTAATGCGCAATGCGATTGTTGGATAAACTCCCCCGAGGGTTTCTTTAGCAACTGCTGTACGTAGTGTAAAGCAGCCAGGGCCTGGCTGGCTGGCTGTGGCTGGGCTTTGCAAGCATCACACTTGGAAAAATGCTCCTATTAAAAAGGGTTAGGAAAAAACTGTGGACTTTACACGGTGCCCTTGCAGTAATGGCCAGGAAGGAAGGCCCCCAGTGTGTCCTAGGAGATGTTTGTCTCTCTGAAAGAACATCTCTTGTAACGGGAGGAAATTAACATTCAGGCAGAAAATGCTGTCTCCGTCAGCTGATGGTGCCCAGCAAGAACTGGCTTTTATTTGTGAAGAGGAAAACTGCTCTCGGTGCTATAAGGAAAACTGTTGTGCCACTGTCATGATGAGGAAGTTTGAATCATCTAAATAACTTGTCATTATGTGCTGCTCTTTTACAGATGTTACAAACATACCCAGCTGGTTTTTAAATCCTCACCTCCTCCAAGAGAACCTGCTAAAGATAATTATAGTGCCATGTCAATATTGACCAGTTACCTCATCCTCAGCAGTGGGGACTTAGGAGCACTGTTAGTTTTTCTCAATGCTTCTTTGTGTAGCTACACTTTTCTTTTGTAAGTGTTGTAGGAAATCTTTGTAAACCAAAAGCAGTTGTGGTTTTCTGCAGCAGAGCTGCTACATTGCTTCCTCTTTGGATGAAGGCAATCTTTGTTAAACATCTTGGGGCTGTCTTGATGACTTGTGTGTACCATGCCTTACAAAATGGTCCATGAGGTGAACATTCAGGCACTGCTGGCACAGGCACCATAAGGAATGGTTGCAACATTGTGGAACATTTCTGGTTGAGCTGTACAGGCAGTGACAAAGGTGCTCTGGAGATGCACAGGCTCTGTTGCAGCATTCGTTTTACCATGTAGTTTGTCACTGCTATTTTTCTGAACACAACTGCTGAATTACAAATTCCTACTTTCTTTGAGATGCCCTTTCAAGATTTTAAAAGGCACTGTGGTTCTTACTGAATGTCAGTGAAGGGTGGGATGCAAAGACTTCTTTCCTTGTAGTACCTGATGTGTGTGTAAATTTAATTCATGTCCTTAGAACAGCTTCTGTCTGCCAGTTTTTTTCTGAGAGGTGCTGGTGGTATTTGACACCTCACAAAATTTTCATAAAGTAGTTGCTGCAAGTCTTTTAGGCTAGAAAATAGCTTGTGAGATTTAATGAAAGTGTTCAAAAATCAGGATGGTTATTGATGAGACTGAATCCAGAAATATCTGGGAGCGTGAGGATGTGTTTCTTTCTTCGTGTGGTGTGTAGGCTCAAAGTCATACTCAGGATGTGATAGTTCCTGCAAGCTTACCTATAGCCGAGGTACCTTCTCTCCATAATGAACCTCATTATACATCTACAGGGTTCAATATGACCCTAAACTAAGTGGTGTGTGGCTTTGGCAGCTATGGGGCTTTATGTTCTGTCAGTAGAGTGGAATGTACTGCTGTGTTTCCTGATCCTCCCACTGCTGAGTCAAAAGCTGAAGATTCCTCTGGATATTAAGAGGAGTGGGATGGAGCCTCAACCTACCTACCCAAAGCCCTTGAAAAGTATCTACCCTTTCAGAGCCAGCTACTCACTCTATTCTTAGAGACCTTTAACAGCAGAAAAAGCTTGCAAGGGTTGTAAAAAGCTATTTTTGTGAACAACAAATAAAAAGAACTGGAAATAAGATTCTGTAAAAGGGGATGTTTCTCGTCATTTATAACTTACATTGACTGTTTGGTCACATTTTATATAGTTTTTGGAAACACTTTCACTTTTATCAGGTTAAATGGTTTTTCAGGTAACAATTTTGTGAGGATGGATAATTGAAATTCAACAGAGGGGATTGCTATGTCTCTTAACACTTCATGCTAGTCTTCCCCATTTGCCCATGAATGTATTTATGTTTGGTTTTTCCCTCTCTTTCTTCAGTTGTTTTGGTTGAGAACTCTTTCATGGAATCCCAATAAGAGAATCAGCATGTGTATTCCAAGCAGTGCTGATTATTCCATCCTCTCACTAAAAATAGACATGGTGCAAGCTGGCACTGAAAAAGAATTTAGCAAGTAGTGGAGAGTGTGAGAAAGAACAGCCATCCTGAGCCATGTCAGGCTGTAGCTGCAGCATGTTCCTGCACACCTGTGGAGATGCAGGGACAGTGATCCTGCCTGCATAGAGAAACAAGGCTTTGGAGAGCTCTCCTGGGAGGAGAGAGGGAATTGCATATAACAAGATTGTTTAGGAGGATGAATTCTGCATTTGAAAGTTCTGCCTGTTGAATTTGGTGAAGGGGTCTGGGCACGTAACTGGGGGGCCAAAGTTGGATGACTAAAGCTAACACCTGTAAATAATCTGTGACATCAGTTGCTGGTAAATAAAAATTCCTTTAATGTTTGCATATTGCTAGAAATGGGATGCTGAGCACAGGTGGGGTTTTGTTTGGCTGTGTTTTTTCTGTCAAAATGAACCAAAAAAACCAAGTATGCTCTGGCCAACGGAATGATATCTTTTACTCTCCATCCTCATTCTTGTTTTTTCCTTTCTCTCCCTGCCAACCCTCCCCCTTTTTTTTTTCCTCCTCTTTTCTGCTTCACAACTACTTTGTAGAGTGAGCCAGACCTGGAGAAAGGCCTGGAGATGAGAAAATGGGTCCTGTCAGGAATCCTAGCCAGTGAGGAAACCTACCTGAGCCACCTGGAGGCCCTGCTGCTGGTAAGCACTGGGGACAGATGCCATTTTAAACACTGGTACTTGAATTTTTACTGCTGCTTCCATCCAGAGTTTCCAGGACTTCACACACCATAGGTTACAAGTTGCTGGATGCAAAGAGTACCTGTTACTCCTCTTCTCCAGGAGAGAAAGAGTGGCTGAAAGAAAGGACTGAATATGTCACAACCAGGGAGTTAGGGAGTTATTAGTGTGGTAGTATCCAGGAACTCTGTCTTTAAGTATCCTGTGCTAATTATTAGACCTGTTGCTGTACAGTCGGACAGAAATTAAGGAAATAGAGTGCAAAGGGATTTTAATTGCACCATTAATATTCTGGGAAAATCCACCTACCAGGGGTGGCAGAGAACTTGTTAATGTCTAGCTTTTGGGAGTTGTGTGAATGCAAATATAACTTATTAATAGGATGAAAAATAACTCTTATGGATAGATGTGTTGCAATGTGGCGAGAGCGAATGTACATGGTTTGCATGATAATGATTTCCTTCTTTCCTCATTTCAGCCTATGAAGCCTTTGAAAGCAGCTGCCACCACCTCTCAGCCTGTGCTGACTAGTCAGCAGATTGAGACAATATTCTTCAAAGTGCCTGAGCTCTATGAGATCCATAAAGAATTCTATGATGGGCTGTTTCCCCGAGTGCAGCAGTGGAGCCACCAGCAACGAGTTGGGGACCTCTTCCAAAAGTTGGTGAGTCAGCTATCATCACCAAAGCTTCTGTTACCTCTCATTGATCTCACAGGAGTTGGTAGGTTCCCTTTGGTGACTGTGCATAGGCCGAAGGGATCAAAGCCCTTGGCTGGGTTAGATGAGAGGTTCCTCACTTTGCCAGTGTAGTGTAAGGCCTACAGCAAAAGTAGCTCTCTTATTGTCTTTAATCAAAGACTTCAACAAGCTGTGGTGCTAATACCAATACAGTTTCACAGAAATGTTGAACCTCCAGGCTCTCTGCAGTGTCATCAAACCATTTGCTTGAGAGGGAGTTTGGAGAATGCCAGTATTACAAATGAACTTTTTAACACTGACAGTGAACTGTTTCTCATTGCCACTGAACTCCCTCACACAAACTTCCTTCTCTCTGTGGTGCTTTGCTCTACCATGTGCTGATTTTCTCTGGCTTGGCTTTTCTGCTACCATCCTGGCCTTTCTGTTCCCCTTGCTGTTATGCTGATGCAGTCAACCTGCAGCTGAGAATCCTCCAAGCAACCTCAACAACATTCTCTGAGTGAAGAACAGGACAAAGACATACATATACAGCATATTCCTGAGGCTGAATTAAAATTGCTGAGTTTCTGAGCCAGATGACAAATTGTTTGCATTCTATGAGATTTTTTGGGCCCCTTTAGCCTCTCCCCTAGCATGTGCAGAGAGCAAAGGATTAAAGGAGCTGTTTTTTCCTTTTTAGAAAAGAAAAGAATTTCTGCATTCCTGAGGTGCCTCTGATTCTCAGGGTAGGAGTGACATTCCATTGAGGGGTTTATTGGCTGGGGAGTGTTCTTTACCAGGGTCAATCAATTGTTAGCAGCTGTGTAGGCCAGCATCAGCCCCATCCCCTATGGAGCTGGGGGAGCTGGGCCTGGAAAATTGTTTTCTATGCATGCCAACAGCTCAAGATCAAACTATGGGAATCTGCTTTTCACTGCCAGCATGTTTTAGCCAGGAGGGGTCAAGTTGGTGCCTTGGTGAGTAGTTCATGGTATGCAATTTAAGCCGCTGGTTTAAGAGCACAGACCCAGCTGCTGAAGCAGATAGAGAAGGCTGCTGACAGTGGCAGCCTCACAAACTGCACCAGACCTGTGGTGCAACAGTGGGGATGGCACCAATTGAAGATGACCTGACTGTATTCCTTAGCTGGGCTGGCTGTCGAGTAACCTTCTATTCACTGTACAGCTAGTCAGGCTTTTAAGAACATTTTTTGCTGCTGAGTGATCACAGGTGCAGGAGTTAAACCCTTTTGGCACTCTGTTTTTATGTTCCCCTGATTTTTCTACGTTTGTGACAGAATTGTTGATCTTGTTGGATTAGCATTGGAAGCAAAGGAACAAATCACCCTAGTGCAGGAAGCTTTGAGCTACCATAACAGTTAGTTTCAGGTGGTTTGGTACATTATCAGAGGGGATTGCAAACTCTTTGCTGGATGAGATAAAACTAATAATTCTTGGCAGGCAGTGGGAAGCACCTAGATGAGAGAGACAGCAAGAACATCAGGCATTACAAGGCATCTATACTGGATGTACATCACATCTTTTGGAGCAGACTGTTTACTCATGGTCACGTCATGCAATCTGATGATAAACCCTGAAATACTTGTTATTATCCAGAGGCCCCTGGGGACATTAATTTTCTTTAATATCACACAAAACAAAGCACTGTAGATTGAAATTACAGATAGTAGATGCAGAGAGTTTTAGAATTTCATGTGTTCTGGCACAAAGTACCATCTATGTGCAACATCAAGTTGACTGTTATTACACCTTTTCCTGTTGAAACTAAGGAAAAGAAAAAAAAGATGCTAGGCATGTGGGAGTGAAATATGCTTCTCATTTTGGGGGAATATATTGTACATATTTTTCATAACTAGAAAGGAAACTCTTTAGAGCTGTTTTTAGAAATGAAGAAATATTTAGCAAGTATCCTCACTGATGGGTTTCAGGAATAGAAAAACTTTAGCCAAAGCCAGTTATTTCTACCAAATCTTGGTTCATTTTCATTGTGTTCTTTGTATTTGAAAAACAGAAGAATTAAACCAGCATGCAAACAGTGTGTGAGCATTATCACTTTGATTGGAAGCTCAGTTTTTAATGAAAAAGTTGTTTTCATGGCAGCACATTTGGAGGAAAATGAAAGCTTAGACTGTTCAGGAGTAGCAGGAAATGAAAGAACTACACAGGAATGGAGAAACTTTAAAGCTCTGCCATGTCAGCTGGCATCATCTAAACCTGAATGTCGTAAGCCCTGCAAATGATCAGTGATTCTGACAGTAGCTTCTCCACAGGATTGTGACCCAGTAGCAAATATAGATTTCATTCTTTCCTTGTTCCCGGGGTCATCCCTGGTATAAGTGAGCAGTTTTCTTCAGGTTCAGCCATAATTGTGTTATTTTGTATGAGGATTGAGTTTGGTTCCTAGTCTTTCAGTAAAATGTGACCTAGGAAATAGCTTGCTGTTTCTCAGCCTCAGTTAGCTAAAGAAATTTGTGCAGGGAATGTTTCCCCAAGAGAGGCTTTTTGTGTTGCACAAAGCTCTGTAGAGAATGGGAAGCACAATGGTTATTATGAGAGAGCAGGAGAGGAAAGGAGCACTGTCTGTAGGGAAGTTATCTGCTTTGCCTAGTGCACATCTCAGGCAGAAGGGTCAGGGAAGGTGCAGAAGTAATCAGGTAAGTGCAACCCTTCTGGCAACAAACTTCTTGTTCATGGAGCCTTTCCCAGCACTCCACCCCTTGGCTCGCTGCTGACCGAGCACTTGCAGGCATGTTCAAGCTGCTGAGGTGTTTACAGCACAGCCTGTGCAGCTCTGCAACACAAAGCCAGTTCTCCACTCCAGACAAGCTTGGAAACTACCCAGGGATTTCCCAAGCTGGATGTTATGTTCTCTGGCATGGATATGGCTGCAATTCCTAAGTCAGCAAATGGGATCAGTGCTAAGACTCAGTGATAATAATGACTTATTACTGCACTCCGAGGCCACTTCCATCCTCTTCTGGACAAATTGCCTATTCCTTCTGCTGGAAAACCTGCCATTTTTTGTCACTTAATGCTGCAGTCATTGCATGTCAAACAGATTGTGCTCTGGATCTCTCTTCTGTATTTTCAGCACTCTTCTCCCCCTGTAACAATGTTCACTAATGCAGATATAGGCTAATATCTGGGTTTGATTTAGCACATCCATCATGTAAAAGCCAACAAGTAGCTTACTGGGGTCACATTTGTGCTGCTGGGCTGAATCATTCTTGTCTGATTCATATGTTGTGGCAAAAAGCCAGCAGCTCCAGTTACATCAATGAGCTAGAATATTAATAGATACTAATCTGGCAGTTCAGAAGGGAAAAATAGATGCCAGTAATAAGGATGTGTCATTCACACAGGCTTTCGCATCCTTCACAAGTAAACTTGTTCAGCTTAGGTGGAACTGGGTGTATGGGGACACCTGTGCTGGTTAGACAAAGTCAACAGGTCAGAGATGTCTTTCTGGGTCTGCTCTGCGTTCCCTGTGATTCTTTGATGTGAAGGAGCATGACCTGATGGTTAGATACCGAGGCTGACCATCCCAAAGTATCTTCTTCCCCAGCGTTGGTTTGATTTTGTTTTGCTTCCTGCAGGCCAGCCAGCTGGGAGTGTACCGGGCCTTTGTGGATAACTATGAAGTTGCTATGGAGACAGCAGAGAAATGCTGCCAAGCCAATGCTCAGTTTGCTGAAATCTCTGAGGTAATGTCACGGTATTCAGACACACAAACCGCCTGGATCTGACTAATACCCTGCGATGTCAGTCCTGCCTATTCTCCAAGTATCTTTGCAGCCCTGACTTCTGGAGGAGTTGTGAGCTCCCATAGACTCACTGCTTCAGCTCCTGTTCTTACAGCCATTTGTACCTTGGGCTGGTTGAGGTTATCACAGAGATAGCCTTGGTGTGCAGTCCCCACCCAGGGAATCTGGTAAAAACTGGCATTGCCTCGAACTACTTCAGCTCTGTGCCACCTTCATGCATTTCTAGAAGGGAAACAGCAGCTTGTGTCCTTATGGATGTGTCTTTCTTCTGCAGGTGATATAAAAACTCCACCATCCCTGTTGCTGTAGGTGGTTCCCTGCTTAGCTGCATCTCCACTGACACGTGCTCCTAAGAAAATTGCTTAATATTTGAGATGTGTGGGTGCCTGTGACATGGCAATGAGATTTACCAAGAAGGAAAGCACATTTTTTCCATCACTGACTTGAACTATGATAGGGCTGTCCTCTTTTCATACTTAGGCCCTCCCCTGGAGGAGCAGATAGTCTCTTATGTTCCCATGTGATATTTCAAGGTGATTGACCATCTGCTACGTGGGTTTTCTTTTTCTTTTAGAATCTAAAGGCTAGAAGCACAAAGGAATCTAAAGATCAGACGACGAAAAATTCCTTGGAAAGTGAGTGATCCATGCAGAGGAGACTGGTTTGTCAGGACTGTGTGGAGGCTGTTGCCAAACCTCCACTCTTCCTTCTGTTTTTTTGAATGCTGGAAGGTTATGGAGTCTGCTGGCTCTACCTGGGAAATCAGTTCCTTTTTGCTACATAGCAGAGCTTGTGCATAGTAGGCTGCATGCATGCATGGGGAAGTGCCTCCCCAGCTTAAAACCTCAACAGTACCTTTGGACAAATGCCAGCCCAACCAAAGGGCTGCTGTGATTTTAAGAGAACATCTGATACCCAGTGATAGCACAAGTGCAAGCCCAGCAGTGATTGCCATATGGGTTTTGTGCTACGGTGGCATCTAGAGAGCCTGGTCAAGATCAGGTTCCATGGTGCTTGTCTCTATGCACATAAGTAGAAGACAACCCATGTTAGAAGGAGCTTCCATACTCACTGAGATAAAAGCCAGTCCCCTTCCTGGTTTGGCCCATTACCAGGATGTGGAAGCATTCAACATGTTGTGGTGGACTCCAGAAGGAGGGATGCATTGCCAACCTCTCAGGGACCTGCTGAGTGCAAGGCTGTTTCTGCTCTGTGGGACCAGGCTGGTACAATGGCAAGTTGATCTGTAGGGGCTGTATTTAGGTACCACTTCCTTATGTTCCTGATGCTTTTTTTTTCACAGCTCTACTGTACAAGCCCGTGGATCGAGTGACTCGCAGCACACTTGTCTTGCATGTAAGTATCTGAAGGGTAGTTTCCAAAATTTTTTTTTGACCTTCAAATTTTCCACGGAGCTGCATGACTGCAAACATAAACCTGTCATGCTGCATAAGAGCTTCTTCTCTTTACACTAAGAAGATGGAGTCCATAGGTAGGATGCTGCTGTCTCTTCAGTGGTGTTACCAGGAAGTGCAGAGTAGTGTTATCATCATCTAGAGATAGTCTTGCTCTAATCTGTAGGAAGAGGCTGAAGCATCTTGTCCTACAGCTCTAGTTAGAGGCCCTCAAACCCTTCTGCTGTCCAGTGCTGTTCATGGTTTTGTTCTGGGTTTGTGTTTCTGTTGCCAGGATTTGCTCAAGCACACTCCAGTGAGCCACCCTGATCATCCACTCCTGCAGGATGCTCTGCGGATCTCACAGAACTTCCTCTCTAGCATCAATGAGGAGATCACTCCTCGTCGACAGTCCATGACTGTAAAGAAAGGGGAGGTGAGTCTTCCTGCTTTTAGTATTTTCTCAGTTTCTAAATACTGGTTGTGTCTTTTCTGTCGAGCTGACTAGGAAGTTATGCTGTTAATCTGTTTGTTGCTAAGATACAGTTTATGCAGTGTCCTTTTTCTCTAAAGGATGTGGTACAGCTCCCTCTGTTTTCTGTTCAGAAAACAGTTTGGAAACCCAGAGGAAAAGTATAATTAGAGTTTTGTCCTTAGTGTTGTTCTAATCATTTGTCATACATAATTTCTATGATGCATAATGCTATGCACTACATGAATTTGTATTTTACATGCAAACCAAAACCAAACGCGAAGCTTGGGAGGAGAAAAAGGTGAGAAAACATCAGAAGTCATGAAAGATTAGGAAAAGCTGGTTTCCAAAAGTTCATTTTCACCATAAAACTCATTTTCTACATCCTTATTTCTAAAGAATAATGTTATAAATGTGACTAGAAAGCAAAACAAGTGGAATGGGTTGGGAAAGCCAGGAAAGTGATTGACTCCTAAGAGGGTAATATAAACCTTCTCAGTTCCCAAGGAGCTGGATTCCACCCAGGAAGTTGTAAGATGTGCAGTTCCTTTACCTGCATGCAATGTTGTGCAGGGAGGCCAGAGATACACTCAGTGGTCAAGTCCTGCATGTCTCAGTGGGTTTGATTCAGCTGCCTTGTAATTTCATTAGAAAGGGGTTCAGTTCCTCCTGATGAGGAAAGGCCAGGACTGGCATACGTATTGAGAAAGAAGGGTGTAAGAGGTCAGACAAAAAGAGAGGTGCTGCTCAGATAGTAAATGTGTAAGAGGAATTGTGGCAGCATGCCAGAGACACTGCCCTGATCAAAAGTGACCCAAATTACCCTGTACAGAAACATCTCTTACAAAGCCCAGGAGATTGTTAAGATACCATGAACCTTCATGGTTTATTCCCAAATCTTGACTGCTAAACATGCTTGCTTTTAGCTGTTAAATTGATTTTCAGCTGACAACAATTTGCTAGAAGCTGCAGTACTGGGAATTTAGTGCACTTTGTCTGTGAGTCTTGCTCGTTGTCTCATTTTGTTAACTGAGGAAGTCTGCAACTGAGAAAAGAAGAGGGAGGGGCTGAGCAATTGGAGGCTGAGGTAGAAGCTCAGACATCAGTCACCAGGGTCTCAGTGATAGTAGATGGCCTCATTAAAGTGGCTGCTGATTGAGTCATAGCAGAAATCGCAGGCTAGAAATGCCCCTTCACAGGGGAGGGAGCATTTTGCCTTCTCTGGTTGTCTGTCAGCATCTCAATGAGGGATGCAGGCTCTGAAAAGTGTCATGCAGAATCCTAATGAGGTGCCAGAGCCCAGGCAGAGGGGCAAGCTCAGGAGGAAGATCCTGATGATCGCTTTTTGGAGTGGTGTATTTGTCACAAAGCAGGAAGGGGAGACCTGTCAGGATTGGGCTGAGCAGGCTTGTTACACTCTGACTGGTCCTGCAGCGACTCCAGGTATGATGTGTGGAGGGAAGAAGGGGACATACCAGAGGAGAGGGCTGTGGGTGTGTGCTGGAGGGAGCTGGGAACCCTTTGTGCTCTCCCTCACTGCACACAGCTTTTACTGAGCCCAGGGAAGAAAAAGACTTGCTTCTGATGCTTCCCAGAGTTTGCCTTTCACTCTGGCAGTCTGAGGGTGAATATTTTCTGTAGTCATTTGGCACCAATATCCCACGTTTCTCGAAGCAGTAACATCCCAGCTGACACCCCTCTGTGTCTAGAGAGTAGGTATGTTCACTCTCCCCATAGTAATCCAGAGACTCAAATCTGCTCCCAGCTACTCTGTGTGGGTTAGTGATGGCTGTTCTTTCCTACAAGCTGCTCAGCTTGGGGTCATAGCTGGGTTTTGTTTATGCCTGTAAATCTTTCCTTTTCTACTTATCCTTTCCTCCCACTCGCCTTGCTGGTGCTTCCCCCGGGGTGACAGGACACTGTGTGGATTGCATCTCCTAATTGACTGCTCTCAATGCATAATGCATTTTTTATTTTAATGAATCACCAGCCTGCTTTGATGGCTTTTTTCATTATTTGTCTTCCTCCCATTGAAATTTCCTTGGTGGAAAGGAAGGAGGGTAAAACAGCCTTTTCCCCTCATGTATTGCTTAGGTGCTGATCTCAGTTATCTTTTTTCCCCAGTCCTTCTTTTATGTGGAATATTTTTCCCCTTTGACTGTGTTGTGGGGAGAAATCAAATCTCCTTTGCCAGCCTCTTGCTCTAGCTCTTTTTTTCGGGATTGCTTTGAACTGAGGAAACCAGTCAGTTGTTAATCTCCCTAGTGACAGACTGCTAAGGAGGGGAGTGCAGGTCAGGAGAGAGTACAGGCTCATCAGCACAGCGTTCTTGTCTTTTGCAAAAGGTGATTCCCTGCTTTGGGAGCATTGACTCAGTCTGACCTGCCTGCTGGCTTCCTGCCTGATGTCAGGTGTCTGTCCTGCACACCAGCCCCCACCCTCTCCAAGTCTGCTTGGCTCCGTAGGCTTTGTTCTAACTCTAGACATATGCATATGAACTGGAAGGTTTCTGTGATGCAGTTTAATTTGCTGGGCTGAATGAGTAATTCAGGTAGTGCAAAGAGATGGAAACAAAGGAAGCAAACCCCTTCACCAGAGGGGCAGAAGGAGCTGCAGCAGGGAAGGCAGTATCAATGGCTTAAGCCTGTGGATGGAGAGTTTGGTCCTTGCTGCCTATAGCAGACCTCTCTGCTTTGTGGTCTGCTGAGGATCACAGTACAGAGGAGCCAGGGAAGCACCAGCCCCAGCCTGGCAGCGCAGGGGAGCCAGGAGGGCTTGTCTGGGCTTTTGTGTCTGTTTCCATTCAGCTTGATCCACTACATTCTCTTGCTCCCTCCTTTTCTTCCCATCTTTCTACTTGTATGAATTTACTTTTTTACTGTTTTTTTTTTTTAATAGATTATCTGCAGGTATCCACTGTGCTAACCCTCTAAATAACCAAATGCATGGAGGGTGAGGGGGGCTGAGTAGCACTGTACCTTGCAACTTGGAATGTTAGTGGTGGACAATCACCCACCCCTCAGGACCATGGAGCAGGCATCTTACTTGCTCACTGCTGATTCCTCTTCACCACTATTGTCTTAGCTTAAACAGGGAACCTGGTTAAGGTTCTACTGGGAAAGAAGGAAAACAAATGCTTTGGGCTGAAGGATGTGCCATTATTACATGCCATAAGGAGGGGAATAATCATTTTTTCTAGTCTTATTAGCAGAGCAGCTCTATGTACTGCATGTTGGGTTTTTCAGCTAAGTCTTGATGCAAACGCCTGTAGCATTTGTGTCATCTTTCCCTGTCAGAAGAAAAGACTTGTGTTTCCAGTAAATTCAGTCCATTTGTGTAAAGCAGGAATTAATGAAACTGCAAAATAAATTGCAGAGTTCATTTGGAAGATGATGGTTCTCTCTTGATTGCTGCTCCTCTCATGGTCTTTGCAGAATGTTGTTCCAGGGCAGTTCAGACCAACCTGAGTGGTGGTGGTTGCCACTCTGCCTTGCCCTGGCTGTGCACTCCCTCCTCTCTAAAGTGTTCACACTGGTATTTGTTGATCCCACAGTGGCATGGAGGAATGGAGCTACCTAGGAACAAAGCCTCTTGGACTTCAGGGTCACTGCTGGCTGAGTGGCTTGGTGTCTGGTCTCATCAGCACCAGTTCAGACACAAGAGAGCTGACAGGCAATTTTTTCTGGGATTGAGCTCACTTGATCACGTGTTAGATCAGCTTATGCTATTGTATACCTTTTCCTTTGCCCTGGAGAGAAGAGCCTACTTGGCAAACTGCTCTACCATGTTTCTAAATGTGGTTTTAAACTGCAGTCAAGGGACTGGGTATCATTGCCTTAAGCTTCTGTTTAACTTGGTAGAGACCAAGTGTGCTGGAGAAGAGAAGGGACAAAGGACATGTGCAAGGGAGCAGAAGGGCAAACTGAAGCCTTTGAAAAGCTGGAAGCTAAGCTTAGAGACAGGCAGCCATGCACAGCGTGAGGCCTGGTGACTACTGCTTCTGGAGGCCTTGGGCAGATGTTGGCAGTAGAGCACTCAGAAATGATCTTGGCTGCTTCACACTCTGTCTTACAGCTGGAGCCAGAGAGCTCCTGGTGACAGGAGCTTTGGAAAGAAGAAAGAGAGGCTATTAAAATGCTCAAAGCACAGCCAGTTTAACTCCCTGGGCAGAGCATCCCTTTATTCTGCACTGCTGGTCTTGCAGCACACGCACACACACACACACGAGGAATCATTTTCTTCCTACGCTCTGCAGAAAGCCAAACCACCTCTTCCTCACTGACATATGCCAATACCCATCTCCTGCTTTTACCCTCCTCCCTCTGCCTCACACATGTTCCAGCCCTTCCCGGGGCTCTCGCCCACGCATGCTGCAGCCTGTGCTGTCACCACATCGGATGAGCTCTTCCCTCAGCACACGGGTGAGGAGATGGCCTTTTGTACAGCTGTGCTTCTGGTTGAGTAGGTTTTTAATTCCACTTTTTGTAATGTGTCTCAGACAAGCTGGCCATACTTCCTGGAGTTAATCAGTCTGTGACAGCAGCAGTATTTATCATATGCAAACAGCATGAAAACACTGTAGGATGAACAGATGAGCACACAGGTAGTCGTGAGGTTGGTAGCAGAGGAGGGGGAGATGCTCAGTGACAGAGGTAAGAGGAGGAGGACAGCAATAGGCAATCCAAAGAGGATAACCAAGCACTGAAAGAGGTGCAGGGAGAGCTCTTTTGTTCAGAGCTCTGAGGTGGGTGGGAGAAGAAGCAGGTGAAAACATGCAAAGAAAAGCAGGGCCTAGAAAGAAGACTTGGGACTTATACTGCACCAGTACAGGAGCTTTGTAAGAGTCACTGAAGGTACAGTCAGCCCAGGTCCTGTGTGAGAGATTAAAGATGATCCTAATTCACTCCATCATGATACAAAATCAGGTTTTCCCCCTAGCTTCCTGGAACATCTTTGTGTAGCTGAGGTGAGCTCATGTGCTGGACACCTGACAGTCTTGGAGGCTGTCTGTGGAAGAGAGGGGTTCACTCTGCCACTCGACTACCATCTCACCCTAAGCTTATGTTTTCTTGGATGTTTATTTGGTGTTTCTGTAGTCTGTGTGATTTCAGGGTATTCTAGGAAACCTTTGGCATCTTTGGTAACCTTAACAGAGTAAGTCTGGAAACAAGGTTTCCCAAATGTGCGCTGTTGTATGTAATGTACAGCAGGACCACCCAGCCAAAAGATCCAGTGTCTCAGGAGACCCTGTTTAACAGGAGGCCCCCAAAGATTGGTGGCCGTGGGTGGGAGAAGTTGACCAAACAGGGCTTTGGTTCCAAAACTGCTCTTCCAAAGGCCTGTGGAGCTGAGGTGGCACAGGCATCTGATCAGCACTGAGTCCTCTCTGAGGGGGCTGCTGGGTCCCCCAGGGTGGGAGAGGATGGGCTGACTCATGTCAGGAGGTCCAGGAAGGTGCCCTTTGCTCCCACACTGTGGGGTTTGGCAGGGATCTGGTAAGCCAGTTGGGAAATCCTTTTATTGTTTCCCTCTGACCTGCT